TGATTGATTGACTGATGATTTGATTGTTCAATTCATTGTAGACATACTATGGCCAGGCCCCAAATTGTGATAGGAAGCTTCTAGAGAGTATTTTGGAGCCAGATGAAGCAAGGCAAACACGACTTGATATCAGAACATTCAGAAGCTGTATCAGTGAAATCGTTGAAAACGAAGATGGTCGACTCACAGTCATCGCCTTCTCTAGACAAAACAATCATCCAGCGGCTCTTATAACATTAAAAAAAAAAAAGGATATGATCCAAATATGCTTGATAGCCTTCCGGGACAGAGCACCAGAAGTGAGGGATTTTTTCCCGGGTTCTCTGGTTTTCCTACCTCCATGAAATCAACAAAAAAATTAATTGGAATTTCAGTGGATGAAGAACCGGCTCTCTGATGTAAAGAGCCATTGTTAAATCTTATTAATCTTATCATCTTATTATTTCTTTCATCATATTTCATTAAGGCAATACGGCTGCAAGAACATTTATAGAACCACTCCGCTCCAATCAAATGCCTTCCCGCCCACAAGATTGTTTCTGCGATTCTATAGCTGTCTATTCACATTTATCATTATTTTGAAAAATACTATCATCAGCATAGGCAGAAACTTAAGTATTTTTCCATTACTTGGGTTTTTCTTAAAAACAAGATCTCCGGCTTTGAAAAATAGGTCGTTATATTCTTTTTAATGAAACTGACCACTATTCTAAACGAGAATCATAATAAATCAATAATGACATTATTCTTAGCCTTGCAGAAAGTAATAAGACATTGAATTCATCATCGGCACAAGTTAGGGCGCACTACAGTGGTTTTAAAATTTGAATAGAATTTCTAAAACACTACGTAGCTATAGGGCAACACTGATAGCAGCTGCTAGGAGACTATAGAAACTTCCGCTATTCCAAGAAAAATATATTGAGATTCTATCAAATGATTTGGCTCCTAGTTGTAACCTCGTAGTTCTATCTTGGCCTGCAAGGCTGCATTTTTGGAGAAGTTTCATTTTCAAGAAGTAAACACTTAAAAATATAAAAATAGGTTCGGTTATTGTCAGCAAGAGTCCGCATCATATCACAATCTATCTTCTTACATGTTTAGGTTGGCTAAGAATGGACCTTTGAATTACTTTCATTATTCTAATATTGCATCCAATAAACTAGTTCTGCAGATCACAAGTGGTATTTACTAACGAAATATTGAAAAGTTTATTCACTTTTAAAACTAGGCTCTAACAACAACTAAAACGATAATTATGAAATATGTATAAAGTTAAATGTAAAATATGTTGAGCAAAATAAATTGAT